GGATTTAAGGGTCAGGGTTTAGAGAGAGCGGGGGAGGGGGGGGCGTATGGGGGGGGGGGAGGGTCTGCCAACATGGTGTAAGGATCTTCAAGGGTCTACGGTTTCAGGCTAAGGTTTAGGGTTCAGGACCTCGGGTTCATCGTAACAGTAATTTCAAGAAGGTTTCGGGGTACTTTACGGAGCCCAAAGGCATAGTAGTGGTAGCTACTCAGGCCTCTATAGTAGGGTACCAGAAAGCCAACACAACCTGCAGACCTAAATAGCAAACCGGATCACCGCCGAAGCCCTACTATCACGGCCTTCAGTTTGGCAGCGGTTTGGGCATAGGGCGACCAAACAAGGGATAATAGTAGCATTTCTGTTTCTACAGACCTGCATTGCAATATCAAAACCCCTAAACCCCTAAGCCCCCAAACCCCTAAGCCCCTAAACCCCTTAACCCCTAAACCCCTAAGCCCCTAAACCCCTAAACCCTAAACCCCTCAACCCCGAAATCCCCAAGCCCCTAAACCGCTAAACCCCTTAACCCCTAAACCCCTAAGCCCCTAAACCCCTCAACTCTAAACCCCTAAGCCCCTAAACCCCTGAACCCCTTAACCCCTAAGCCCCTAAGCCCCTAAGCCCCTAAACCCCTTAACCCCTAAACCCCTAGGCCCCTAAACCGCTAAACCCCTAAACCCCTACAGGATCCCCGGCCCAGCACGCGAAATCCCCACGATTTCCGAGGCATGATGGGCGTCGCCGACGTACCAGTGGCATTGGCCTTGGGGTTGGGGGGAAGCTGAGGTTGTCGGGCTCAGATGTATCATACTTCGAGGCTCATGGGTAGCTATAAGTGGGGTTGTAAGTCCCGGTTATATATATTAATTATAGTTACCACCTTACACACGTATAACTACCCAGTAGTTGGGCTTTTGTGCTGATGCGGGGATGATATGTAATGACGATTTGGGATGTCTTTCGCAGTCTTGGTCAAGCTCATCCCCCCTCAAAGCATGAGTGGGGTGTCTACATATGCATAGTAATATGTCTGTAGACGGTATGTATGTACATAAATATATATATATATATATATATATATATATACATACACATGCAATCCCCGTCATGGCGTACACAAACTTAGAAGCTGAACCAGGCAAGTTCGAGCTGACCCAGCACAGCTTGCGGGCATAAAACTCGCATTTTCGTCGGCTGAGGTCCCAAAGACGTCTGCTTCTGCAGAGCTGGTGTTGCTTCCTAGAGCAAGTCGGGATGTTAAATTCAACAGCAAACGACAGACCTCGCACCAAACAAATCCAGAGAACTTTTATGGCAGCATGATGCAAAGTCTGAGATAGGCTTTAGAACGATGCATCTAGGCGCGTTCACTGTCGAACGAGATCTCCCGTTCTATCTGCTTCTCCTACAGCAGTCCGCCACTGATCTCGTCCACGCCAAGCTGGAGGGCCTTTAGGCCACACCAGAGTCTCCTTGACACCGACCCGGTGCCCTACTCTGCGAAGAGCACATCATGCTGGATCAGCGCACGGCCACCCAAAGCCTCGGCGGATCAAAGGGAAAAAGGGCTTAGGCAAGAGCCCCCAAGAAGCCGACATGGTAGGGGATGGCGTCGAAGCCCATGAAGTAGTCACTGAACAGACGAAGTATTCAAAGTCAAATCCCTGAAGAGCAAGCAGTTTCTCTGCAAAGAGGGCTCGATACGGGAAGGAGGTCTGCTTTTCAAGACAAGCACCGGCAGCAAGCTTATGCAGCTGAGGGATTGAAGTTCACGGGATTATTGCTTCGTGTGGTGTAAGGACATGTAAGACAAAAAGATAAAGCCTGAACAGTATGCCAAGGGATGACATGCCGAACCATATTGATGAGCACCGCCCAAATCCAAAAAAAAACTGAAGAGTGTCCTGCTGCAACCATGTCGCGCTATGCGCTGAGCAGAATTTACAACCCTGTACGAACTATCACACTCGCTCTTCCGATGAGATCTTATATCGAGCTTCGAATGTTCTTGCCTTCCACGGCGGGATATACGTATACATTCAACAGGTACCTACACTCCAGGTTTTCTCTCTGAGCCGCATTCAGGTTTTGGATTGAGGCTTTAGGGAGTGAGGGTTCAGGAGGGACGAGTATGCTTGAGCTCAAAGCAGTAAGCCTACTAGTAAGCTGCGCTTGAAAGGTTTAGGGAAGGTTTGAATAGGGTTGTAGTTGCTCCCACTCTGAGCAGCATATGTATGCAGGAACATGGGCGCTTGGGTACACTTGTCACGTGTCCCTAGACAATGGCTGCACTTTCCCACACGGCGGGATAAAGGTAGGTAGGATGACCTAAGTCAAAGTTTAAAGGCATGAAGTATTTGAGCAGGTTTGCGGGGTATAAGAGATCAACCCCAAAGCCCGAGACACCCAAGAATGTAGTTAGGGGCCCTAGTGAATACAACAGCATTCACTTGGGTTCCCACTGGTACCTTACTATGACCCCAAAGCCTCCCATGTTATGCGTTTAGGGTCTGGGGTCTGGAGTGCAAGAGGGCTTGGGTCCCGTTGCTTTACCTTCTTTCTCCAAACCCCAAATGTCAAAACACCAACCCCCCTGTACCCTAAACCCCAAACACACACACAGACACACACACACACACACACACACACACACACACACACACACACACACCCACACCCACACCCACACCCACACGCACACGCACACGCACACACGCACCCGCACCCGCACCCGCACACGCACACGCACACGCACACGCACACGCACACGCACACGCACACGCACACGCACACGCACACGTACACCCACACACACCCACACACACCACACACACCCACACACACCCACACACACACACAAAAAAAAAAGCAACTAAAATCTTAGGCCCCAACTAAACCCTAAAACCTTGCATGTCGGCAACGCAATGAGCGACCCCACGCCGATGATCAGAACCATGCCCCAGTCGCAACCGCCTGGGACGGGTGTCGTTGGTTCAGGGCTCTCCTGAACCCTACTTGAAGGATCATGGGACTTAGTAACTAGCATATAATAAAGGTAACCATACTTATAGCTACTTATAACCCCAATTAAGGTACTTATAACCTAACTTGCTAAGTCCCCCGTCCAAGTAAACCTCCCAACCCTGAACCCCTAAGGCCCTATAGTCCCAAACCCCTACACCCTCAAGCTTAGTAGCTGAGTTCATAAGCCCCCCCCGAAAGTGTACACTTTTAGTTCTATAGTGGGTAATATTATCCCCAAAAAGTGAAAAAAGTGTATCCGCGCAGCTACTGAGCAAGGGACTAGGGCTTCAGGGCCACCCCAAAGTTCAGGAAAAAAACGCTCTACCAACCCAGATGGGAGGTTGTCAAAATTAGGGTCCCTTATTGGATCCCTAATATAGTACGGCACCTAATATTTAGGGTGCCCCAAAAGGGATCATCATTTTGACAACCACCCAAATAAACCACATCATGTCTGCCTGTCTGCCTGCACCCTAGAACTCACCCTGAACCCAAGGCTTCGATCCCCAACTTGAACCCTCCTGTAGGTACCCAAAGACGCGCTCACCCCCCCCCCCTCCCCCGAACCCTAAACCCTACACCCCAAACCCTATACCCCACGCAGTAAACCCTAAACCCTACGCCCTGAACCCTGAACCCTACAAACTAACCCTGCAGCCTGAATCCTAAAAATTACACCCTAAACCCTATACCCTACCCCTAAACCCCACAAGCTCTAAAAACCCTAAACCCAATAACCTCTAACCTCTAAACCCTAAACCCTCCAAAGATCTAAACCCTAAACCCTAAACCCGACACCCTGAAGACAAGAGGAGCCTGAGGATGCACCAGCATTTCCCTTCGCCTCCTCGCGGAACCTGCAGCTCCACTTGGAGTGCTTGGGGCTTACTTGAAGGATCAGGGGACTTAGTAAGCTAGGTTATAAGTACCTTAATTGGGGTTATGAGTAGTTATAAGTATAGTTACCTTAATTATAACCCTAGTTACTAAGTCCCATGATCCTTCAAGTAGGGTTTAGGGATTTAGGGCTTAGGGGTGTGGTTTATGTAGGGTTTCGATTTAAGGTTTATTACGGCTTAGGGTTTAGGGGTTCGCATAGACCCCCCAACTACCCTCTAATATACCCCAAATACCCACGATCAAGGGCCATAAGGACTCTATTAAAGCATTAAAGGGCCCTGGGGGGGGGGGTCCTGGCAGGGTTTAGGGTTTAGGTCCAGGTGTGATTGCTAGAATCACCCTGTTTGGTGTTTGCTGTGTGGCTTTTGAAAGCAGCATTCGCGTTAAGCAGTTTGTTATACTCCAGCTGGGAGACCTTTACAGGTCATCTCAGTCCCCAACTGTCTATTACCCTAAACCCCTAAACCCTAAACCCTAAACCCTAAACCCCTAAACCCTAAACCCTAAACCCTAAACCCCTAAACCCTAAACCCTAAACCCTAAACCCCTAAACCCTAAACCCTAAACCCTATTGGAGCCTTGTGCTTGTTATTTGGGTGGGTCTAAAGAAATGAACTTAATTCGGGCGCTCCTATAATGAAGGCCCTAACGGTCCCTAATGCAGGGAAAGCAACATAGCTGGCACATGACCAAAAGGACACAGCGGGTGTCAATACGATTTCTCTTGGTTTGCAAGCTGACAGCGTGGTCCGGTTCAGACTGCCAAGAGACTCCAAAACCCCTTCTGTCAGGAATGTGATGCACCTTACACCCCGTCATTGTAATGCACCTTAAACGCAAATTAAAGCTCCCTTTGCTTGGAGTGCAGTACTTCATAGGGAGATTCTGGAGAAGCTGGTTGTTTGTCCCCCAGGCTTGGCCGTGTGTTCATTAAGTTTCAGGCTTCTGGTCTAGGGAGGGTGTAGATCTTACTCCAATACTGCCACTGTAAAGCTCGCACAAGGGTTGTCGAGTGTTGTCGTTTGTCTGTAGAAAGCCTAAGCACAAGTACCCCCACACCCTGAACCCACACACACTTAGCCCTGAACCCAAGAGCGCAGGGGTGGCAATTTTCCGCACACGATTGGGTGTCCCAGTAGTGTGGGAGGTTCTTGAGGCGGAATCAGCTTTCGTCTTGGGTCGGCCGACAGCATTCGATTGAACTCTTCGGTAAGATGGAGCGGCACATCTGGCGTGGGCACATGAGTCAGTTCAAACTTCTTCTGAAGGGCCTTGCGAAGCTCGTAGAGCTTTTCTCTTGAAACGACCTCTTCATCCAGTTCTAATAATATCCCCACCAAATTCCATCGGGCAGAGTCATCTTTACTCCAGAATTGCTCCTTCCGCCCCCCCCGAGGGGGAGCAGGCCGCTCCTTGTAAGAAAACCACGCCGCTGTTGGGGCTAATCCGAACAACCTGCGATGCTTTTCCTTACTTTCCAAATACCCATGGAGTATAAAAAGTTCAAACTCTCAGAATAGGACTACCTTATAAGAGTCCCCCCGAAAAAGAAACAAGAAACACACAAAGGTTGGGCTTTGGACCACCGAGTTTCCTCCAGCCGCAGAACCTCGTGCATGAACCGATTTGTTGGCCGATCTCTTAAAGCTTCAGGATGCACAAGAAGGAAGTTCCAAAAGTGCCAGCGAGCGGTGTCGTCTTCTGACCAACTCTCCGTTTCATGACCAATATACCTAAGGCCCCTTTTCCTCGCAAGGAGTTGCTCGAACTCATCCACGTTGAAAGCCCCCTTCCAGCGACGTTTAGCGGCCTCTCTGCGTACGGCTGCGTTGAGCGAAACCGAAACCGCCACCTCTTGAACGACGGTCAAAGCAGACTCTTCCACAGCCTCCTCCCCCAAAACGTCCTCGTCGCGGATGATGCGCGCTCCCCGGGCCAACTGCTGGTCAAGGGCCAAGAAGCCTGAGTTGCTCTTGGAGTAGGGTTTAGGGTTTAGGGTTTAGGGTACCATGACGATACATTCTCCGTTCAAACTTCAGTGTTCTACTTTTCCTTACTTTCTCGACCTCTCTCTATCTATAAAAATGATTCCTGGGTTTCTTCATTTTTGCTCTTAAGAAGATATAATCTCTGAAACAAAAGCCACCTTTCAAGAACGGCCAAGACGCGACCCGAGGTCGCTTTTTCGATCGCCTCCTTCAGCTGTCGCCCAGTTGACTCCCCATTGCAACGGATGCTGCAGACGGGCCCATTCAGCCCATGCACTTCCAGCAATACCATGGCTTCAGCCCTCGAAACCGGAAGGGGTTTGGGAAGTGTAGCGTTGAATTAGCCGTTAATAAAGCTAGGAAGCTTGATTTACCGACGAGGCTGAGGGATGTTACAGGCGGTAAGAAATTCACAACGTGGGCCTTACTAAAGTAAAAGCCAGGAAGTTGGAATATGATTATCCTAAACCCTTTATGATAAGTTACAGGGTATCCTACCCTGATACCATATTCCAACTTTCTGGAGTTCCCCTTAATAGCAACTTGATTTGAAAGGGTTTTAGGTGCTACGCGGTTCGGACTGGAGGCCTTGGGATCTGAGGGCAAAGCCTTCCTCGAAAGCACGTTTGAGCCGACGGATTCGGACCCAGAAGCAGTCGAGAACCAGGACCCTCCTTGTACCCTCAAATAGGGGTATATGGTCCCAAATAAGGGGCATTTAGGGTCTAATAGAGAGTAGATGGAGGGTCTAGGAATAGATGCACAGTTCAGGAGCAGATGTGCTTTCAGCGAGTGCTTGAAGCCCCAACTATGTGGGTTTAGGGTTCAGATGGTGTAGGGATATGCTAGAGCCTGGCCACCTTCAGCATGGACAGCTCGATATCTGACCAAGATGCTTCTCGCGAGCTTCCCGCATGGTTTTGGCAATGGCTGCCTGCCACAATCCCTAAGGCTCCATGTACCCATATAGTATATACTTAGGCCTTAAAGGGGCTCCTATATGGGTACTTTAGGGTATATGTATATACAATATGGCTACATGGAGCCTTTGGGAATGCTAGCCAGAGGTGAGGTTGCAGTCTAGGTTTAGGGTTTGAGGGTCCCCCACTAGGCCCTGAACAAGAAAGATTTCTTGCTCCTACTTGGAGGTTCATGGGTAGTTATAAGCAGGGTCATAAGTAGGGTTACTATAAGCCTAACCCATATTTGGGGACCTATAACCCCACTTATGACTGCCCTAAACCCCTGAATACTTGAAGGATCAGGGGACTTAGTAAGTTAGGTTATGATTGGGGTTATACGTATTTGTAAGCATGGTTACCTTAATTATAGCCCTAGTTACTAAGTCCCATGATCCTTCAAGTAGTTCACGGTGCAGGTAGTAGGACTCAAGGGCGTAAATCGCGTGAAGCGTTGAGGATTGAAGCGCTTCGGGTTTCGATTTAAATGTTTGGGGTTCGGGGTTCAATCGTTGGAGGCCAAGCTTACAGGCGGAACGTGCAGGAGCTCGAAGAATCTCGGACCTGTCATGGCTGCAAACTGCTCAATCATGGACTTAGGATCCAGGGGCGGAAACTTGTGAGCCTTTGAGGGTGCGACGATTGGGTTGACGGGTTTTAAGACCTGGGCTCTAGTTCCCGGGCTCCGTGGCCAAAAAGAACTTAACCAACGATGAGGGTTTAGGGGGATTAGGGTTAATGATAGCCGGATAATACAGTCATAGTACACACCCATAAAAATTCAAGGTTACCTACACTGGTGCTGACGCTAAGCAGCTAGTTCCAGTCCCTGAAGTCCTACTCCCTGAAATATTGACCCTATGTGGTTTGTACTGGATGGGATCCTGTAATGAATCCAGCGTGCAACCAAAAACAGGAACTATACATCTAAAATTTTAGGCAAGTTGGGCTGAGTGTCTAAGTGCACAGGCCTAAAGCACACAGCCCCTAAAGGCTAATGTTGGGTTGGGGCCTTCATGATTAGAATAGGGTTTGGGGGTATAGTATCCTATAATGATGGTAAGGAGATGGGGTTGGGGCGTAAGGTAGCAAATCATCCAACACGGGTTCAAGTATTTTCCTAACTGTCTTGTCCTTCGATACACTGGTCTTCGTCTTCTGCTTGCACCCTGCAGGAAGAAGATGCAAATACGTGCCGGTGCGATGGCGGGTACCCAAATCAACAAATGCAGACTTCTCGAAACGCCATGATCTTTTGAGTGGTGGTTCTTCTCGTTCGACTTTGGGAGGTCGTTAGTCTTGCTCAGCGATCCCTGACTGTCCGACAAGAACTCACGTCAGCCTGTATTCATTGATGGAACCACCATTCGCAGCATTCTGAGCCTTACCTATAGTCTCCATTGTGGTTCCTTTTTTTGGTTTAACCAAATATATAATTAGGATCTTATAAGGTAACCCCAAAAAGGAACTACAATGGAGACTATAGGCAGCGTCAACTAGGCCCCGCTCTTTTCCGCTGACCCAGTGGATGTCGTACTCGCACTTGTATTCTCCGATGTGGCATGGTGTGTTCATCCAGCGCACCTCCGCTGAGCCCCCAAAACCCTAGTCCAATTATTTATAAGGCCCCTAAAGGCTAAATTATAGGCCCCTACAGGCTAAATTATAGGCCACTAATTAAAGGCTAAATTATGGGCCCCCAGAGGCTAAGTAAGCACTTAAATCCTGAAGGCCCCAAGCGAGAAATAGTTCTGTCAGGACTTGGTCCGATTCCCTGGTAAAGCTAACCCTGCAACCCCACCTTAACCCTGAATATCCTAGCGTTTTAAGGACTTAGAAAAGGAACATCTATGATATAAGGATCCCTAAAGGGGTAGAGTTTGGGGGGTTGAGAAAACCCTAAATACTTGAGGGTCCAGGTAAGGATTTAGCTTGGATTGAATTAGAGAGCGCCTTTTGTGGAGGTTCTTACATCAGGATTTCACTGTTCCAGGTCTATACTAGGGCCCGATGTGAGAGTTTCCGAATACAGGGGAGTGCCCAAATAGTAGGATCCTTATTGAAAGGATCCCAAATATGGTACCCCTAACTTTCGGAAACTCCCATATTGTCCCCCAAATCCTCAAAGCCTGAACCAAACCCTACACAAGAATCTTCGAGTCATGAAAATCTGTACCCTCCGAACCCCACAAACCCCAAACGACCCTAAACTCTGAAGCCCTGGAGGACAGCCGCAACCGTCCCAGCGCCTGGCCATAAGAACCCTTGATCATCGAAACCCAGAAAATTCGAACATGTATCTCAATCAGGCATGCTAAATTATCGGTGCTGGAATTCCGATAACGATCTTCCAAGGGTATGGCTGACTCTAAACCCTGAACCCTAAACCCGAAATCCTAGACGGCGCTACACCCTAAACCCCCAAACCCCTACCCAAACCCCCAAACCCCTAAACCCTAAACGCCTGAACCCCCAAACCCCTACCCCTAAACCCTAAACGGCCCTATTGGTTTACGGTTTAGGGTTTAGGTTTAGGGGTTAGGGTTACAAACCCTAAGCCCTAGGGGCCCCTTCTAGTAGTCGACCCATGGCCTCCATTTTGGGGTTTAGGGTTTATAGGGGTTTAGGGTTTTTGGGTTTGGGGGTTTAGGGGTTTAGGGTTTAGCGGCTTAGCGGTTTAGGGGTTTACCTGTAGCCGAAACGGCCTACCTTTTTCAGGAACTATATATAGAAGCCATGATAAGGAACCTTAAAAAGGTAGGTCTTTCCGGCTACAGAATATTCTTTAAATCATATTAGGGATCCTACTATAATTTAAGGAATATTCCTTAATTAAGGGATATTGGAGTCTCTGGCTACAGTTCAACCCTAAACCCTAAACCCCTAAACCCCTAAACCGCCAAGCTACAGGAGGGCCTCCATGGTCTTCGACCTCGGCTGCCGGCGTCGCAGACCACTCTGGCCCAGAAGCTCCTGCTTTCACGAAGAAAGGGGGGGAAGGTTAGGGTTTGAGGGGTTTGGGTACCTTTAGAGAGATCCTTAAGGGCTCCTTAACGGGATTTATAAGGGGTCTATAATGGCTTTAGGGTTTATAGGGATTTAGGGCTTTATTTAGGGTGAATAGGGGTTTAGGGTGGTAGGGTTTATACCCCTTCTAGGGTTAAGGATAAGACGTAAGGTTAGGGCTTTAGGCTGAATTTAGGGCTCATAGCGGTTTAGGGTGTAAGGTTTGGGGTAAGGACGAAGGGGGTCGTGAGAGTTCTTAGATGTTCGCTGATGTTTCATATCGGTTGAGGGTTTCGGCCACATCCATGAACACTGACTAGGCGCAACTCAACCGTTGGATGATCTTTCTTGAGCTTTCCAAGGGCGCTGAAAGCTTTCGATCGGGGCTCTACTTGAAGGATCATGGGACTTAGTAACTAGGGTTATAATTAAGGTAACTATGCTTATAATTACTTATAACCCCAATTAAGGTACTTATAACCTACCTTTCTAAGTCCCTTGATCCTTCAAGTAGGAAGAGGTTGGTAGTAGGATCCCTACTTGCATGTGGCTCAAAGGTTAGAGTCTAGGGTATGTACGGCCATCAACAAACACTCGTAGCAGTCATACCATCGCCGCAATACCCATTTCAAGAGGCAAAACTCATCGTGTCTATGATATAATCCAGGTATACCATGAATATGAGAGCCAACCCTGGGGAACACGATTATTACAACCATCAGGCCGTTAGATGTTATCATGAAACCAGCAACATTTAAATTTCAGGGTGCTAGGGCTGGCGGCATGTACGGCTTTCGGGTTCAGGGCATCAAGCTCGTAGCTTATTGATTTGCTGCTGGCCCCCTAGACCGCGCACAACTCTAAACTCTGCACCGTGTTGAACCCGGAACCGAGGGTTTGGCTTCGAGAACATCGAAGTACTTGCATTCCGGGGTGCCGGCTAGGGGCTGATACACGACTGTGGGCTTAGATGTTGAGATTCTGGGCTTCTGGCTTTGATGCTAGAGCTTTGCTTTTGCTCTTAGTGCTTGGGGAGTTTAGGGGTTTGGGGTTTAGGGCGTTGGGTTATGACATGTTATCCCCCGAGATTTCAGCTGAAGTTGAAGGCGTACTGGAAGTGGGGACCTATCCTTCTTCGGCTCGGCGGTCTCGACAAGACTCCTCGTGTTTCATTTTCCTGAAACCTCAAGCCCTTTGGATTCAAAGTTCTGAACCCTTAACCCTAGATTTCATCCTAAATCCTAGGGTTCATGGGGCTTAAAGAGGTTTACAGGGGTTTGTAAAGCTTTATAGGGTTTATAGTAGGGTTTAGGGTCCCGCAAGTTCTGAAACAGGACTAATTAGTGAGTCTAAGACTTCATTCTTCACCTCGGTGCCTGCTCAACAAGGCCCGGAACTCTACTGTAGCCCGTTCCTTTTTTACCCCGTTTGCTTCCAGCATGCGCCTGGTCATAGCTCTTCCGCTGCTCTGCATCACTCAAGACCGTGAATGCTTCTGCCAGCTCCTCTCATGAAGCAAAGCTTTGGGCGGTAGGGCCCTCAGGCCGTGGGATCGATTTGATACTAGGTTGGCCCTTCAAAGCCTCTGAAAAATATTCGTAAGTAGGGTCCTACTAAGCCCACAAAGGGAAACTAGAAAATATCCCAAAGGCCTACCTAGTTTTATAAGCTCATATGATATCTTAACTGGATCCTCAAGTTAGCCTAGGATACCCAGTAACCTAAGAATAAAAAGGCCTCTCTTTTTGGTATTGGGTAACTTTATAAGGAACCTAGGACTACAAAAAGGGAATAAGGGTACTACTGGGCATCCTAGCCCCTAATTTTCGGAAACCCTAAACCCTTTAGAACCCTTATAGATGCCTTTAAGGAACCCTTATAGATCCCTAAGGGTACTACTGGGCATCCTAGTTTGCGTATGCATCCTTCATGTCCGATCCGGCCAATGTATATACTACACAGGGTTAGGGGGTTTAGGGCTTCGGGTGTTTCGGGGGTTTAGGGGGTTTAGGGATTAGGGGCTTACGGGTTTAGGTTTTTTTTTTAGTGTAATGCACCGGTTTCGGGGTTTAGGGTTTGGGGGCTTAGAGGTTTAGGGCTTAGAGGCTTCGGGGTTAGGGCTTATACTACACAGATGCAGGGCCCGTCCGGGCTTCCTTTGAGTAACGAAGACAGCAGTTTTACAAACCCCGAGCACTTCGTCTCACACGCTCTTGAAAGCAGAGCTGGAACTCTAAGATCCGAAAGCAGCAGACCCTTCATGTAAAAGCCTGTATTCCTAGTCATGCGATTCCTGAAGGTTCCCTATTGTAAGCATAGCATACTATAGTACTACTATGAACTATACCCCCCCAAGCCCTAAACCCTAAACCCCTAAACCCTAAACCCTCAACCCCTGAACCCCTATTCTGATGCTGAAGCGGCCGTTGCTCCTTGAACTTTTCAGCGGCTGCGGCATCTCCGTCCTCGGTTTTTACATTTGGTTAGTAGGGAATGGAGGAATGGGGTACAATTATAACTACAATTACTACCATTCTTCCCTAAACCCTAAACCCATATCTACTATTACTACCATTCTTTCCTAAACCCTAAACTACTATTACCACCATTCTTCCATTCCCTACTAACCAAAGGTAAGTTTAGAGGTGGCGGGAGTTGGGGATCCAGGGTTCTTGGGCTTAGGGTTCTTGAGGTTGGCTTTGAGGGTTAAGGTTTAGGAGTTTGGGGATTTAGGGCTTCAGGGGTTTAGGGTTTGGGAAATTAGGGGCTCCAGGGGTTCAGGGGTTTCGGAAATTAGGGGCTCCAGGGGTTTAGGGCCTCAGGGCTTTAGGGGTTAATTAAGGTCTTTAGCAACTTGCGCAGGGCCAAAGAAGGCTTCGGATGTACAAGTTTGGGCTTGGCATAGTGTTGCGGCTTCAGGCCTTTTGGGTTTGGGTCCCGTCTTTAGGGCTTGGCCTATCTTTCAATGTACCTGGCTGTGATTTCTTGCTACATTGTATTCAGTTCGGCTCCTGAGAAGGTTGAGGGTACCCCCAAGTACATAATGACCATGTACTTCCCCACATCCCAGCCTACATAAGTACTATCCTAGACCGAGGTATCTCAATACTGGTTCACTTGAACCCGCGGGGTCGCATTCTTGTCTGATGTGGCCCTAAAACCCTAAACCCTACCTTAAACCCCAAACCCTACCCTAAACCCTAAACCCTAACCATAGCCCTAAACCCTAGACCTGCCCAAGTCGCATTCTTGTCTGGATGCCACTTCAGCGCCAGCTTTTTGTAAGCCTGCGCTGCAGTTCTGGTTCCTGGGTCCTCAGACCCCCGGGCTCCGTGTACCTATATAGTATATACTTAGGCCTGAACGGGGTTATGGAGTACAATATACGATATGCTCGACAGCGTATACTACTTACTCTCTCTATATATAATCATGTCTACATGTGTATATATATATATATAAATAGATAGTGAATTGCATATATATAGATACATATACATATGTACATATAGGTACATGGAGCCTTAGGGAAGTTTCACTTTTCAGGGTTCAGGTTGTCGTTCGATGCTGCTTTGCTAAACCATGGTTAGGATGGTCTTTCGGGGACTGCGTCGTTCCAAACTCGTACTTTAGATGAACCCTCTTTGTATATAGACACATGGACCTTAAGCCCTAAACACTATACCCTAAACCCGATCAACCCTGAACAGCACAACACTGCTCCCTAAAACCTATACGGGCGTTTCATAAAGCAGGGGACCCTACTAATATAGTAGGATCCTTATAAATACGGACCCAACAGAAGGTACCCCTAATTTCGGAGACTCCTATACACCCTGAGCCCTTGAAAGAAGGAGAGACCCGGAGCCGAATCGACGGCTGCCTTTCGAATCGCATCGGCGTCAGCATCTCGGGATATGCCGAGGACCTCCATGGACTTTCGGCTTTGGGGGCTCTACTTACCTTTGGCTAGTAGGGAATGGACAATTATAACTACTATTACTACCATTCTTCCCTTCCCTACTAACCAAATATAGGGTTTATGCAGGGTTTAGGGTTCAGGGTTTAGGAATTTGGGTTTAGGGCTTAGGGCTTTTCGGGCTTGAGGTTTAGGGTTCAGGGCTTTAGGCTTCAGCGCTTGAGATTTGGAGTATACTTATCAGGTTGATGGCTTCGGATCAGGTTTCCTAGCTGCACAGTTCCCAAGTCCCAAAGCCCGATGCTGACCCTACTGAACGCTTCTAGTTGGAGCAAATCCTGTAAGGGCTCAGGATGTGCAGCACGGTTGATGATATAAATCCTGCATTACCTTAAGGGCCCTTGGGATTTATGGTACATTCCTTATTATGGGTACTGCAGGATTTATATCATCAACCGCAGGAGGTCCTTGCGCTTGCAGAGGACTGCTTGCTGCTCGGAGGGTTCAGCGCGATAACTGATGTTGCAGCTGCCCCCAAACCCTAAACTCCAAGTCGCGACAGGGAGTCGGGGGTTGCGGACTAAGAACAGATGAAGTAGCACAAAGCCTAAGTGCAAGAAGACCCTACTCCTACGACTACGACCACCCTGTCGGCCTTGTAGTAGTCAGGTTGGCTATTCGTCTCACTGCCCACATCGTCAGACATCGCTTAGACAGCCAGAGCTCAGCTCATGACGCGCGGCAGAGGTTTATAGGGTTTAGGGCTATTAGTCAGAAGCTCCAACATCCGTCAGCCCCGGGTCCCCAATCAAGGATTCTGATTCCAAGCTAAAGAGTATTGTTCCCTTATAAGGTAAAAGCCAGAAAGTTGGAATATGATTCTCCTAACCCTTCTATGGTAAATTATAGGGTATCCTACCCTGAAACCATATTCCAACTTTCTGGAGTTCCCTGTAGGGGGGTTAGTTAGGGAAGGTGTAGGGTGAGGCTGTGCGCTATGCATGCAATGCTATGGACGGATACCGACGAGAGGAACACTCCTCTGTAAGCTCCAGATGGATCCGGGATCCTGCTACGCTATTAGGGCTGAAAGCTTAAAGATCATCAAGGGTTTTGGGGTTTAGGGCTCAGAGCATAAAGTCTAAAGTTAAGGGTTCCAGAGTGATCTTGAAGCCATGGTGCTTGAGCATCACAGCTGCAAAACAGGTCCCGACATGCATGTCTGAACGTAAGACCTGTTAAACACTAACCTGAACGAGAATGATAGGGAGTTCAAATCGAAATTCATGTATGACCCTAAACCCTCAACCCTAAACCCTAACCTCACAAGCTCCCTGTAACCTTAAACCCGAATTGGAGCCCTGTGCGCTATGTCCAACCTTTCGTCCCCCTCTCAATCAAAAACCGTCGACAGCTCAGATGGGTTTCGGGTTTAGGGCTTAGGGTTTAGGGTTTAGGAAGGGTCCATGCACCTAAGGAATATAGCCAAGACTTTCACCTCTCAGGGGACAATCTAGATAATATTGCTATTAGGTATGTGGATCCCTTACGAAATGCGGTTTTGGGGTTCAGTTTCAGGTCTGGGGCACTGCCGTCTTTTGTAAACTGGAGGGTTCCAAGTGGGGGTTTCCGAAAATTAGGGGTACCCTATTTGGGGTCCTTATAATAAGGATCCTACTATTTCGGGTACCATATTCACATGTCACATTTCGGGCTGATATGCTCCCGCAACGACGACCACTGAGGGAGCAAAGACCAGAGCGAGCCGGAAGGACTTGGTTTTTCACAAGCCTTCGGCTCCCGATCTATGTGAGAACACTTGGGGCCAAAGTTCGATTGACGAAATATATACAAGCCTGCATATTAGGGTCCTCAATTCTCGGAAACTCCCAAGTCTTAGTTTGGTATGCTCTACGGCTGCTTGTCCTCAAGGCCCAACAGCGGAAACCGAAAGCATGAACTCAGGAAGCCCCAGAACCCTACAAGCCAGTAGACCCCCAGAGCCCGCGCATTCTCGGCCAAACACAACCAAAGCCTGTATACAGCCAAGGCCTCAAACTCCAAACCTGCAGCCCCTCAAACTATAACCCTAAGCATACCCGAACCTTACTCCATCCCTTGATTTTCTTCCCCGAGCCTCCAAAACCCCTCGACTCGGCTACTTGGTTGCCCAGTATCCTCTCGACGGTACCACAACTCGAAACTATTCAGTTTGAGGTGGTTTTGGCTTTGGGGTTTAGGGCAGTCTTACGTTTTTGCGGAAACCACGGAATAGTGCCCCGAGAGCACGATATCCCTGAATATCGACATATACGTTACAAGTACATCAGACAAAGGTTATTCAATACTACAAACCTCATCCGAGGATCAGCAACGATCCCTCCATACTCTGCAGACTAGTCACTATTCTCGATTCTGTTGAAGGGGCACTGGGCTCTGACTGCACCCGAAATCCCGAGGCGGCAGCACTTCGCCAGAGTGGTGAGGTCTAGTGAGGGTTCTTTGGCAACCTCGAGCCTGGCAAAGGGAACTTGGCGTAGGAACAAAGGTACCCTTATTGTTAAGGGAATACTGGGCAACTTGGCCTAAATCCCTAAATCCCTAAGCCCTAATCCCCAAATCCCTAAACTGTACGTGGCGTGGAGGGCTCAGGGTATGTGACCGGGTATGTATGTATATACACACACACACATATTCTTATTCTTGTTAAAATTTTAAACCTTCTTCTTCTCATTATCAGTATTGCGTATATCTTTATTCTGAGTCTTCTTCTTCTCATTCTCATTATTCGGTTGAGGGTTTGGCGCTGAGCAGACTAGAAGCTCGTGCAGTCTCGTCGGTGCGCCGCTACAGTGGTGGGCTCTTTTAGGGGTTACGGGTTTGAGGGTTTAGGGTTTGAGGGTTTAGGGTTTGAGGGTTTTCAGAGGCTGTCCGGTTCGAAGGGGCTTACGGCTCAAAAGGGTTGCCTTCAGCCCATTTAGACATGAGTAGGAACAGCACCGGGGGGCAGTTCACAGGACCTTAGCATTTATGATCTGGGAGTTTCCGAAATTTGGGGGCACGTCATTATGCGGTCCTTATAATAAAGATCCTACTAGTAGGGTCCTTTCTGAGGGTCCCCTATTTGCGGAAACTCTCATCTCTTGACACTTGCAACCCTCAACCCCAAAGCCCGCTAAACCCTAAGCAACCCTACATCCAAGTTCTCTTCTAGTGCAAGTCTTTCCTGCTCCAGAACCCACAAACAACGCAAGCTCTAATGCCCGCTTAGGTATTTATTGGATTTAATAGGACTGGGGGCTTATAAGCTGAAGTTGTAGCGCTTTTTGAGACTAGACTGTAACAGGGATTTGGTGAGTATTCTCTCTTCCCAAGAACGGCCGACTAGTTCCCACCCGTCAGCAGACTTATCTAGTAAGCAGGGCTACAAGCAGCGTAACTGTAGCTACCAAGAACTCGTAACCCCAAGTGGAGTACTTGAAGCCCTGCTTCGGACTACACATGACCCTCTGAACCGCCATGAAGCCCGTTCAAACCCTATGTAAACCCCGAGCCATAACCCTAAACCCGAAACCCCTAACCCGGAACCATGGCAGCAGTGCGTCTCGCAGTGCAGTACGAAGAGGTGGGAACCCGGATCTTGCTCCACTCCTGAGCAGTTTCGAACTTAGATCCATCTTTTAGTAAGCGATTGGGTTTAGGATCTATGTCTAATTAGCGTCTTCAAGCTCAGAGCTTAGGGTCTCGGGGTTTAAAGGCTTTATCAGGCTCTTAAGGAAGCTTGCACTGGCCTGCTACCCTCATTCCGCCCAGAAGGCAAGAAATACGAACAAGCAAAACACAACAAACCAAGAGCTTGCAAGATGAGGCTGCTCCCTTAGGGCTCCAAGTATACAAACAGCACCTACTTTGGGGCCGGAAGTCTGTATATAGTACCTACTTTGGGGCCTACAGTCTGTATATTGTACCTACTTAGGGCTGTTTGGAGGTTTGGGGAACTACGAACTGTAGGGTTTCTGAGAGCCCGCGGGTCTCCCTGGGAGATTCAGGACCCCTCCGAAGGAGATACCTAGGCCCATAGGGCAGGTCTTGGGGTTACGGGCTCAGGGTTTAGGATGCGACACTTAGTTGCTAAGTTCATAAGCCCCCAAAAGTGTACACTTTCAACTTTATAGTGGGTAATATTATCCCAAAAAGCGTAAAATGTATCCACTCAGCTACTCAGTGACAAGAAATGCCCTTAGAAGGGTAGAGTTATTAACTGAAGCCGGGTTGTCGATATTGAAGCTACGATTTACCGTAAACCCTAAGCCTAACCCACACGTACGGGGCAGGCCATTACTTCACGTGAGGCCGCTCGTTCAAGGACCTGGTCTCGGAAAACCGGAAGGTGGGATCTACTATGACGTAGTAGGGTGTATTAAGGTATACTATATGATGGTATGGTGGCACATGTTAGGGTAGAATGGGGTACGTGAAACATGATGAGGTAAGTTCGGCTCTAGTGGAGTTAAGATAAAATGGCGTGCACTCGTGCATTTAAGTACAATGGGGATTGTTTGCAAACCTGTATTATGGGGCACACTGGGGTAGCAATCAGAGGAATGTTAAGGCATAGTAAAGCATAATTTGGTGGTATATGGGGGTTTATGATAACTGGCGTACAATGCATTGAGACTCAGCGCAGCAAGCATCCATGCAGACAGTTTAGCGCGACTTATCGTTGTGGGTCTCCTCCGGGTAGAGTCGTTACCCCACGACGGTCGGATCCCCAAAGAATCGGATCACCGAGTGAACTTCCAGCAGCGCCCCGGGTGCAGTTGAACCACTGGTGCTCCGCCTTCAGTGTGGATCATGTATGCGGGCTAAGAGCGAACGATACAAGTAGCCTCCAGTCACAGCTCGTCTCAGCAAAAGTCAAAACCATGCATTATGCGGTCATTGTGAGCGATCCTGGTCTCCTCCGGCAGTAGGGGCCTTTGGGCACCGTTATAGTGGAGCTATAATAGGGAACCCGAAGGTAGAGTACTGGTAACTATTTAGGCTTCTACATTACTGGCCCAGCCATGATACCCAAGAAAACATGGCTTTGAAGAGGGAGAGAGAAGCGCAGCAAGACCAAAATGGATGACACCGCAATCAAAAACAATCAACATCCTTTGCAGTTGCAGAAGAAAGCTCAAACTCTGAACGTTGAACGCCGAGCCGTAGTAATCTCAGAATCAATTGTCCCTAAGCCCTAAACCCTAAACCCAAAACTCTGGCTCGCCGCCCTCCCTGTGTCCCAAAACACTGCGAAGGCCCCTTTCTTCAGCCGAAGTGCCGGCCATCAACCCGTCTGATCCTGGAGATTGATTTTAGAATGAACCGCAGAAAGTTGACATTTGGATTTATATACGATGATTCATGGTGGGAATCTCCCTACTTTCATTTGAGGGCATGAGCATAATGCTGTTCTAACTCTAGCTTCTACTGTGGGGTTTTCAAGCTTTCCAGGTGCTACGGAGGCAAAGTTGGCTTCACGCTGCCGAAAAAAGACTTTCACGTTTTGGTCTCGGTCCCGACTTACTGCAGAGGCCTTGATAGCTAGAATACTATACTGAACTTAGAACCCTAGCAACAATTATAATTTTGGCTGTTTCTTAGGGATTATAATACCCAAAAATTAAAAAATATTTCTAAGTACCCCTGAGAATATACGGCTTG